GCGAGGCGGCCGGGGTGCAGTGTCTCGCCATGCCTGGAGGTGCTATCGCCTGTCTGAGGGGCTCTGCCTGCCCTTATCGCCTGCCCCAGCTCTCCAGGCAGGCAGTGAAGGCGGGAAAGCCCCGGGCGGGCGGCTCTGCTGCCTGCTTTTGGCAAAGGGTGAGGGTACCCCTCCATGCTGGGTGCCCCCAGAGGGCTGTGGGGCTGCTTCCCCTTTGCTTCCACCCGGTAGGCTCTCCCGGACTGGACTAGTAGGATGGTGCATGGACGGAGCCAGGTTTTTCCAGGCACCGATGCGGTGCCCGACCCTCCGTGAGCGATGTGTCGCAGGATGCTGTGTGCTGCCCTGCGCTCACCTGCACCGGGAATGGCTTCGGTGCCCTGGGCGAATGCTGGACGTGCCTGGCGCGTGTCCTCTTTGGAGGGCTGCAATGGCCCCATGCTTGTGGCAGGGGGGCTGTGCCTGACCTTGCAGCGAATGGTTTGGGAGCCCTGAGCTTGGGTTCCCGTGCCGAACTGCTGCGCTGGGCAGGTGAGCCCAGGGTGGGCTTGGCTCTTCCCTTTTTCCTGATGGATGGGAACTGAACGCGGGGGTTGACATGATTGCCGGGCCCTCCCCTTCCCGGGGGGCTTCCCGAAATAGCTGCATGCTCCAGCCAGAGGGCCTGGAGCCAGGACTTCCCTGGGAAGCTGAGAGCCAGGGGAACAGCGTGCTTCCAGCGCGCTCGTGTGTATGCGGCTCCTCCGTTAGCGTGTCCCAGTGTGGCCCCACTGGCTGTGCCTGCAGCGGGGAGCCCAGCTCCCATCCTGCCCACAGCGGGCAGCATGGAGGGGTCAGAGCAGCTGGTGGGATGGGAAGGCAGGTTTCTCCAGGAGAAGCCTTTGGCTGGGAACGGGGATGTATCTGGACTCGATCAGGGGTCTGTCACAGGGACGTGTTCCTGTATGCGTGGGGCGCTTGCCATTGCTCCTTGCTGCCGCTGCATCCTTGCCCTGCCCAGG